TAAATCTCAGAGCTGGGACTGATGCCAGCACATCAGTATTTTATATTCATTTTATGATAATTGTTGTTATTATTTATTATTTTTTTTATGTTGATTTTTGTTGTGGGTATTTTTGTAAGCCATAAGTCAATGGAAACATGGTAATGTATTTTTTTTTTTAATAATAATTACAATGAATGATGTTGCATTTTTTCCAATAATATTATTTGTATTCCTGTTAGTCTGCATTATTATCATTATTCGTTTTTGTTTCATTTCTTGGTTTACTCTTCTCTGAATATTCATACATTTTGTTTGCATTGGAAAATGGTTTGCATTAACATCAATCAGGTAGTTCGTTTAATAGCACTGCAACAGCTAGAAATCACAAGCTATGCATTACTACGATATTTATAGAAAGTAAATTGAGATATATCTGGACCAAGCACATATTATATCCAACTCTTCTAATTAGTTAGGATAGTCAGTCAGCATATAAGCAGACTTGGATCCAGTACTGACCCACTTGTGATGTCAAAAACGGTTCATACCTCGACCTGTGACATCATAGTAGGTGTCGTTGCAAGCCAGCCTATGATATAAATAAACAAATCTATCTTGAGAATATAGATAAAATAGATCTGACAACTCATCTTAAGTCGGACAGACTAGAACACAGCCAAAGAAAGTGTTCGACGTTTTCCTCTTCATTCTTGTTATTGCAATCTCTACATATATTAGCCGTCTACATGAAAGTTCTAACAACGACCTGATCCCTAGTCAATTGCCTAGTTAATAGTCTAGTCTATAGTCTAGTTAATAGTCTAGTTAATAGTCTAGTTAATAGACTAGTATATAGTCTAGTCCATAGTCTAGTCTATAGTCTAGTCAATAGTCTAGTCTATAGTCTAGTTAATAGTCTAGCCTATAGTCTAGTCTATAGTCTATTTAATAGTCTAGTCTATAGTTTAGTTAATAGTAAAGTTAATAGTCTAGTTAATAGTCTAGTTAATATTCTAGTTAATAGTCTAGTCTATAGTCTAGTCTATAGTCTAGTCTATAGTCTAGTCTATAGTCTAGTCTATAGTCTAGTCCATAGTCTAGTCCATAGTCTAGTCTATAGTCTAGTCCATAGTCTAGTCTATAGTCTAGTCTATAGTCTAGTCTATAGTCTAGTCTATAGTCTAGTCTAGTCTATAGTCTAGTCTATAGTCTAGTCTATAGTCTAGTCTATAGTCTAGTCTTTTTTTTTTTTTTTTTTTTTTTTTGTATAGTGGAGGAGGAAACCTTACATAGGTCCCATAAAGGGTATGTCGGATTCCTACCGACTAAAACCACCTCCATCGTCAACACCACACTCCGCGGAACTGCCACCAGGTACTACTTCGCGGGGTGGTCAGCTTTGACGCTGAACTTCCTTAACTCTCAGAGTTCGTCTCCTAGGCCACGTTCTGGGCCTTGCGAATAATCTCTGCATCTCGCAGAGCTATATTTATTGAAGTTATGTACATGTTCACCAATGACCAGTTATGTTCTGATTTTAGAATTGCTTCTATTATATTGTCTGTCCTTATTTGTTCACCAATGCACGATTCCAACCTGCTTCGTAGTCCAGAGAATTGTGGGCAATTAAAAACGACATGTTCTACTGTTTCATCTAGATCTGGGCATTTCGGGCATCTTGGTGAGTTGTCATGGCCAAACCGGTATAAATAGCTCCTATAGATACCATGTCCTGTAAGGAATTGCGTCAAATGGTAGTTCAGCTCACCATGGCGTCTATTTATCCATATATTGATGTCTGGGATTAGTTGAAAGGTCCATCGGCCCTTACTTGTACTTTCCCATCTCCTCTGCCATTCCCTCATAGTTTTCTCCCTTTCTATCCGGCTTATTTCCACCTTTGGGATATGTGGGTTTCTAGATTTCTCTTCGTAGACAGCCGATAGTTCTTTGGCTGCTAAGTCCACAGGTATTATGCCCGCTACTACATTTGCTGCTTCTGCAGAAATTGTTCTGTAACCACTACATACTCTTAGGCAGCTTCTTCTATGTATTGCAGAAATGTTTTTTCTAGATGCTTCAGATATTGCGCATTCCCAAATTGGTGCTCCATAAAGAATAACTGAGTTCGTTACCCTTGAAATTAAAATTGTTCTACTCTGTCGTGGGCCACCGATGTTTGGCATCATTCTTGCTAAGGCATTTGATACAGCTGTTGCTTTCTCACATGTATATTCTATGTGTTTCTTAAAGTTTAGGCGATCGTCAACCATTATACCTAAGTATTTAATAGATTCAGACGATTTGATTTCAGTTGTCCCCACAGTAAATGAAAGAGTCTCTCTCTTCCTCTTTCCGCTTATAAGCACTGCCTCCGTTTTATGCTCTGCAAGTTTCAGATTCATATTTTTCATCCAATTTCTAATAATTGCAATTGATTCGTTCGCATATAACTGGACTTCATTCAGGTGACGTGCTCTGACAAGGATTGCGACGTCGTCTGCGAATCCTACAACGGTCGCTTCTTCTGGGATTCTTAAGTCAAATATGCCATTGTACATAATATTCCACAGGAGTGGTCCTAGGACCGATCCTTGTGGGACACCTGATGTAATATTATACGATTCCGTACCATTGTCAGTTTCGAACCACAGTGTTCTGTTTGAGAAGTAATCCTTTATTATTGCAATAAGGTAGTCGGGGACATTAAGAGATCTTAACGAGGAAATAATGTGTTTCCATCCCGCAGAATTAAAAGCATTTTTAACGTCTAGTGTAATTATGGCACAGTAATATCTATTCTTGCCTTTTCCATTGATTGCATTCTTAGCTGTTTCAGTTACGAAATTCACTGCATCAATTGTTGATCTAGCCTTTCTAAATCCATATTGCCTATCCGATAGCCCACAGGTTTCTTCTACTGCCTTTAACAGTCTCGTATAGACAATTCGTTCCAAGCATTTGCCTAAGGTGTCGAGTAGACAGATTGGTCGGTATGATTGTGGTTCACCTAATATTTTTCCTGGTTTTGGTATCAGAATTAGTTTTTGTTTCTTCCAGATCTCGGGGAATTTCCCCTCTCTGAGACTTCTGCTGAACAGCCTGGTAAAAATCTCTGGTCTTGATTTTAGAGCGATCTCTAAAGCCCTATTCGGAATGAAGTCAAGGCCTGGTGCTTTGTTATCGCCAATCCTTGCACAGAGGTTTATTATTTCCTCCTCTGTCACTTCTATCTCGCCTTGTTGCACGATTGAATACGGCTCTGAGTACGGTTCTCCTTCCGGGAATAGAACTGATACTATTTCTCTAATAAGGTTAGGGCATGTTATTTGGGCTGACCTCTTCCCCTTTAGCTTTGACATTACAACTCGATATGCGTTACCCCAGGGATTTGCATCGGCTTCGTTGCATAGTTCTTTAAAGCACTCGGATTTACTACGTCTAATGGCTTCTTGTAGGCCTTTCCTGGCTTCGTGATATATTTCCCTTTTAGCTATGAAGTCTGGTCTGCCTCTGCTTCTTTGGTATTTTCTTCTACTTCTCAAGCATTCGCTTCTAAGGGCTGATATATTATCATTCCACCAGTAGTTTTCTTTCCTTCTATGGTTTGATCTCTTTCTTGGCATGGACGCATCACAAGCCATCTTTAGTGCTGCTAAGACTTTTTCTGCCATATCGGATACCGGGCCATTTTCAATTTGCTGGTATGAAAAGGTTTCGGTAAAGGCTTCTTCATCGATCTTATCTTTCGCCCATCCTTGAAATTTAAATTTGTCTGATACTATACTTAATGATGTATTAGGATTAATTGTGAAAATTACAGTCTGATGGTCACTGTGAGTATAGTGTTCGCTAACATACCAATCCATTTCTTTTGATAAACTAGAGCTCACGAAGGTTATGTCGACTACTGACCCATAACCAGCTCTCCGAAAAGTGTGTGCCTGTCCTTTGTTTGCTAGAATCACGTCAAGTCTAGAAAACGCGTCCAGAAGTATTTTGCCTCTTTTGTTTGTTCTTTGGCTACCCCAATCTATTGCCCATGCATTAAAATCACCTCCTATGACAATTGGATTATGCCTATTTGCGTCGTTCACTAGGTTGTCTATTATTTGCACGAATTCATGTTGTGGTATATTAGGTGATATATAGCAGCTATATACGAATATTCCACCGATCTTAATTCTTACGAAGCCTTCTTGTAAATGGTGCATACCTTTCTCTATTGCTTTGTTGCCGCAGGCCCACACTGCTGCTTTACCTGTTGAATCACTTTCCCAAACATTTCTCTTTTTTGTACTGCTCGCAAACAAGGGCGACGTCAATTTGTTGTTCACAGATGGTCTGTTTTAATAGCTCCTGCGCTGCACTACAATGGTTTATATTAAGCTGAATAAACTTCATTTGTGTCTGGAACTTAACGCCTTTCTAAATATAGGACATCTATAGCTACCAGCATTGTGCTTTAGATCCGTATTCCCTCCAGCTTTACATAGCATGCAGTTCGGCTCGGCCTGACAATCCCTCACTAAATGCCCATCGAGTCCACACCTTAGACACCGATTCGATCTATCTACGTCAGATTTACAGAATCTTGAAATATGGCCAAATTCCAGACACCTAAAACACTTAGTGAGTGTAATGGTTTCTCTTATGCGACACATAGACCAACCAATTTTGATCTTTTTTAGCTTGAGTGCTTTCATTGCAGCTTCTGTTGGGAGGCTAATTTTAGCTGATTGAGTTCCTCCATAGGTCTTTCGGAGGGACTTAACAATATTTTCTCTTAGATCTGGTATACCTAGCGCTTTGGAAAAGGATTGACATATTTCTAACTTTGTAGTGATATCATCCATATCTTTACATTCAATAACAATCTCATCTATTCGTGTTTTTACATCCATTGATCCATCCAAAGATGTTTTAATTTTTTCATTAAATCTTTCTGCTAGGTTTTCGCTTCCAGACTTAAGTTCTAAAAGAAGGTCGCCTTTCTGGGTTCTTCGAATTTTGTTTACCTCATCACCTAGTTCTTTTAGTTCAGGGTCTGCCCTAATTTTCTTTAAAATATCAGCGTAAGAGATATCGTTTTTGGCAGATATTATCATAGTATCTGGCCGAGGCTTGCGGGATCTCGTATTCTTTTTCTTCTTAACTATAGCCCATCCGGCTTCTAGGTTATCCGACTCTGGCTTTCTACTAGGGAGTTCTTCTAGTGGAGTTAGTGTTGTCCTATTTTGTGGAAGGCTTTGCTTCAGTCTTTTCGGCGTCGGCATTTTTGGAGCTGTTTTGTCTTCTAAATTTCTTTTCGATTCCCTTTTGGACGGCCATGCTATCGGTGATGTCTGCATGGACTGTTCCACTTCTTGTCGTGGTGATGTCTGCGTGGACTGTTCTACTTCTTGTCGGTATGTCATATTTATACCATTACGTAGTTCTTCTCTTGTTTTATTATACATAGCTCGGATTGCGGTCAATTGATCTTTAATGGCATTGTGTACGTTGTTTTTGGGTTTTACAAAGTCCATCAAATCAACAATTAAGTTCCCTAAAAGGCAGAATGACTCTGAAGGCTGCGCATTATCACTAATTGCCTCTTCTTGAGTCGTGTTTTCTTTGCTGCTAGTAGTTTGCGGTGGAGTTCTTTTTGTAGCCGCACTTCTTTGGAAAGGGTTTATTTGATTTTTCCCACCTTGATTTGTAGTACCACTACGAGAAAAACTGCTTACTGGAGTAAAATAGTGTTCCTGTCCACCAATAGGTTGGTCGCTATTTTCTCCCCCTTTATTGCACTCCTTCTGGTGATTGTTGCTTGTAGCATTATCTGTTACCTTAGCCAAGCTTACCGGGGTAACATTGCAGGCGCTGGATTTCGACGACTGGTAGCCTGCTCGCGCACTACCCAAAGCCGCCGGTACTGGGGTCATTACTCCCTGCACCGTAATTGAATATTCCTTATTAAACTTTTCCATGTTTGTTTTGTTATTCCGGGATCCTACCCGTAGCGTTTTTGACCTAACCGCCAGGATATTGATTCGCAGCCGCCCCTTACTTGGGAAACAGACGCTGATCAGAGAGCCGTTCAATATGAAACAGACGCTTCTGGGTTTAAATATGACTAGAGGAACCACGAAGACGTCACTCTTCTAATTACACCTCTCTAGAGGGTACCTCTTGTGGGGGATGCTTACTTACTGGCGGCATCTAATCGCCATGTCACAGAATCGTCATTAGGCTCATGTAACCTTTTTCTAGCACGCCCTCGAATTCTGCCGCTCATGGTCGGGGACTGCTTATCTATCGCAGCTGGCCTACATATTTGTAGGTCGTTCAGCTATCCGCCACCTGCTGACCCCGATAGTAGCCAGAGCCACGGCCCTAGACTAGACTATAGTCTAGTCTATAGTCTAGTCTATAGTCTAGTCTATAGTCTAGTCTATAGTCTAGTCTATAGTCTAGTCTATAGTCTAATCTATAGTCTAGTCTATAGTCTAGTCTATAGTCTAGTCCTATAGTCTAGTCTATAGTCTAGTCTATAGTCTAGTCTATAGTCTAGTCTAGTCTAGTCTATAGTCTAGTCTATAGTCTAGTCTATAGTCTAGTCTATAGTCTAGTCTAGATAGTCTAGTCTAGTCTATAGTCTAGTCTATAGTCTAGTCTATAGTCTAGTCTATAGTCTAGTCTATAGTCTAGTCTATAGTCTAGTCTATAGTCTAGTCTATAGTCTAGTCTATAGTCTAGTCTATAGTCTAGTCTATAGTCTAGTCTATAGTCTAGTCTATAGTCTAGTCTATAGTCTAGTCTATAGTCTAGTCTATAGTCTAGTCTATAGTCTAGTCTATAGTCTAGTCTATAGTCTAGTCTATAGTCCTAGTCTATAGTCTAGTCTATAGTCTAGTCTATAGTCTAGTCTATAGTCTAGTCTATAGCTAGTCTATAGTCTAGTCTATAGTCTAGTCTATTAGTCTAGTCTATAGTCTAGTCTATAGTCTAGTCTATAGTTCTAGTCTATAGTCTAGTCTATAGTCTAGTCTATTAGTCTAGTCTATATCTAGTCTATAGTCTAGTCTATAGTCTAGTCTATAGTCTAGTCTATAGTCTAGTCTATAGTCTAGTCTATAGTCTAGTCTATAGTCTAGTCTATAGTCTAGTCTATAGTCTAGTCTATAGTCTAGTCTATAGTCTAGTCTATAGTCTAGTCTATAGTCTAGTCTATAGTCTAGTCTATAGTCTAGTCTATAGTCTAGTCTATAGTCTAGTCTATAGTCTAGTCTATAGTCTAGTCTATAGTCTAGTCTATAGTCTAGTCTATAGTCTAGTCTATAGTCTAGTCTATAGTCTAGTCTATAGTCTAGTCTATAGTCTAGTCTATAGTCTAGTCTATAGTCTAGTCTATAGTCTAGTCTATAGTCTAGTCTATAGTCTAGTCTATAGTCTAGTCTATAGTCTAGTCTATAGTCTAGTCTATAGTCTAGTCTATAGTCTAGTCTATAGTCTAGTCTATAGTCTAGTCTATAGTCTAGTCTATAGTCTAGTCTATAGTCTAGTCTATAGTCTAGTCTATAGTCTAGTCTATAGTCTAGTCTATAGTCTAGTCTATAGTCTAGTCTATAGTCTAGTCTATAGTCTAGTCTATAGTCTAGTCTATAGTCTAGTCTATAGTCTAGTCTATAGTCTAGTCTATAGTCTAGTCTATAGTCTAGTCTATAGTCTAGTCTATAGTCTAGTCTATAGTCTAGTCTATAGTCTAGTCTATAGTCTAGTCTATAGTCTAGTCTATAGTCTAGTCTATAGTCTAGTCTATAGTCTAGTCTATAGTCTAGTCTATAGTCTAGTCTATAGTCTAGTCTATAGTCTAGTCTATAGTCTAGTCTATAGTCTAGTCTATAGTCTAGTCTATAGTCTAGTCTATAGTCTAGTCTATAGTAGTCTATAGTCTAGTCTATAGTCTAGTCTATAGTCTATATAGTCTAGTCTATAGTCTAGTCTATAGTCTAGTCTATAGTCTAGTCTATAGTCTAGTCTATAGTCTAGTCTATAGTCTAGTCTATAGTCTAGTCTATAGTCTAGTCTATAGTCTAGTCTATAGTCTAGTCTATAGTCTAGTCTATAGTCTAGTCTATAGTCTAGTCTATAGTTAGTCTATAGTCTAGTCTATAGTCTAGTCTTAGTCTAGTCTATAGTCTAGTCTATAGTCTAGTCTATAGTCTAGTCTATAGTCTAGTCTATAGTCTAGTCTATAGTCTAGTCTATAGTCCTAGTCTATAGTCTAGTCTATAGTCTAGTCTATAGTCTAGTCTATAGTCTATCTATAGGTCTAGTCTATAGTCTAGTCTATAGTCTAGTCTATAGTCTAGTCTATAGTCTAGTCTATAGTCTGTCTATAGTCTAGTCTAGTAGTCTAGGTCTATAGTCTAGTCTATAGTCTAGTCTATAGTCTAGTCTATAGTCTAAGTCTATAGTCTAGTCTATAGTCTAGTCTATAGTCTAGTCTATAGTCTAGTCTATAGTCTAGTCTATAGTCTAGTCTATAGTCTAGTCTATAGTCTAGTCTATAGTCTGTCTATAGTCTAGTCTATAGTCTAGTCTATAGTCTAGTCTATAGTCTAGTCTATAGTCTAGTCTATAGTCTAGTCTATAGTCTAGTCTATAGTCTAGTCTATAGTCTAGTCTATAGTCTATCTTAGTCTCTATAGTCTAGTCTATAGTCTAGTCTATAGTCTAGTCTATAGTCTAGTCTATAGTCTAGTCTATAGTCTAGTCTATAGTCTAGTCTATAGTCTAGTCTATAGTCTAGTCTATAGTCTAGTCTATAGTCTAGTCTATAGTCTAGTCTATAGTCTAGTCTATAGTCTAGTCTATAGTCTAGTCTATAGTCTAGTCTATAGTCTAGTCTATAGTCTAGTCTATAGTCTAGTCTATAGTCTAGTCTATAGTCTAGTCTATAGTCTAGTCTATAGTCTAGTCTATAGTCTAGTCTATAGTCTAGTCTATAGTCTAGTCTATAGTCTAGTCTATAGTCTAGTCTATAGTCTAGTCTATAGTCTAGTCTATAGTCTAGTCTATAGTCTAGTCTATAGTCTAGTCTATAGTCTAGTCTATAGTCTAGTCTATAGTCTAGTCTATAGTCTAGTCTATAGTCTAGTCTATAGTCTAGTCTATAGTCTAGTCTATAGTCTAGTCTATAGTCTAGTCTATAGTCTAGTCTATAGTCTAGTCTATAGTCTAGTCTATAGTCTAGTCTATAGTCTAGTCTATAGTCTAGTCTATAGTCTAGTCTATAGTCTAGTCTATAGTCTAGTCTATAGTCTAGTCTATAGTTTAGTCTATAGTCTAATCTATAGTCTAGTCTATAGTCTAGTCTATAGTCTAGTCTATAGTCTAGTCTATAGTCTAGTCTATAGTCTAGTCTATAGTCTAGTCTATAGTCTAGTCTATAGTCTAGTCTATAGTATAGTATAGTCTAGTAGTCTAGTCTATAGTCTAGTCTATAGTCTAGTCTATAGTCTAGTCTATAGTCTAGTCTATAGTCTAGTCTATAGTCTAGTCTATAGTCTAGTCTATAGTATAGTCTATAGTCTAGTCTATAGTCTAGTCTATAGTCTAGTCTATAGTATAGTCTATAGTCTAGTCTATAGTCTAGTCTATAGTCTAGTCTATAGTCTAGTCTATAGTCTAGTCTATAGTCTAGTCTATAGTCTATAGTCTAGTCTATAGTCTAGTCTATAGTCTAGTCTATAGTCTAGTCTATAGTCTAGTCTATAGTCTAGTCTATAGTCTAGTCTATAGTCTAGTCTATAGTCTAGTCTATAGTCTAGTCTATAGTCTAGTCTATAGTCTAGTCTATAGTCTAGTAGTCTAGTCTATAGTCTAGTCTAGTCTAGTCTATAGTCTAGTCTATAGTCTAGTCTATAGTCTAGTCTATAGTCTAGTCTATAGTCTAGTCTATAGTCTAGTCTATAGTCTAGTCTATAGTCTAGTCTATAGTCTAGTCTATAGTCTAGTCTATAGTCTAGTCTATAGTCTAGTCTATAGTCTAGTCTATAGTCTAGTCTATAGTCTAGTCTATAGTCTAGTCTATAGTCTAGTCTATAGTCTAGTCTATAGTCTAGTCTATAGTCTAGTCTATAGTCTAGTCTATAGTCTAGTCTATAGTCTAGTCTATAGTCTAGTCTATAGTCTAGTCTATAGTCTAGTCTATAGTCTAGTCTATAGTCTAGTCTATAGTCTAGTCTATAGTCTAGTCTATAGTCTAGTCTATAGTCTAGTCTATAGTCTAGTCTATAGTCTAGTCTAGTCTAGTCTATAGTCTAGTCTATAGTCTAGTCTATAGTCTAGTCTATAGTCTAGTCTATAGTCTAGTCTATAGTCTAGTCTATAGTCTAGTCTATAGTCTAGTCTATAGTCTAGTCTATAGTCTAGTCTATAGTCTAGTCTATAGTCTAGTCTATAGTCTAGTCTATAGTCTAGTCCATAGTCTAGTCTATAGTCTAGTCCATAGTCTAGTCCATAGTCTACTCCATAGTCTAGTCTATAGTCTAGTCTATAGTCTAGTCCATAGTCTAATCCATGGTCTAGTCTATAGTCTAGTCGGGCAGGTTAGCCTGTTATCGGCTATTCTTCTTTTTCAATATCTCCTGCTTAAACACCAATTTGAGGAGCCTTGCGATAGCTTTCATACTCTCGTAATTTTCTGTGCACAGCCTCAAGGAATGTGCTAAAAGCATTCCAATTTTCTTGAGACCTTATAACTTTATCTATGATATTGTGAACCGCTATATCTTCGCCAATGTGGAGCATCAGCCTCCATCTTAGTGCATGAAACCGTGGACACTTAAATGTTACGTGCTCTGCATTTTCATCATATTCTGGACATTGTGGACACCTGGATGAATTGTCGTGTCTGAATCTATGGAGATAGCTTCTGTATCCT